TTGTTAGTGGCTGTCGAGTTGATTCTGACGCGTGGTGACCGTGGGTGGCACAAATGGTTAAGTGCTCGACTACTAGCTAAAAGGTTGGCGGTTCACACCCACCCAGAGGCTCCTTGGAGGACAGGCCGAGTCATCTGCTTCTGAAAGGTCACAGCCTCGAAAACCCTATGGACAAGTTCTACTCTGACACACGGGGTCGCCATGAGCTAGCGCTCGCCCTGGCCTAAGGCAGCGATCTGGGAAGGCTGGCAGAGCTGACTGCAGAGGGAATGATGTAGGGCTCGCTCCAGTGGCTGGTTAGTGCTAGCGTTGCTACAGAAGGTTCACGGCTGCTAAGTGCCTTCAACGTGAGCGAGTCACTTCCTGTCTTGCTGACAGGCTCCCTTTTTTTCATTGGTTGAAGACGGAAATTAAAATTTCACATCAAAAATATCCACTATAGTTATAAAGGCCAGTACGTGAAGCCAGTTGTTTGCAACCGGCACAGCTAGATTTGGCTCTTTTTCTGTAGCAAACAGCGGAGGAAGGGCAAAAACAGGAAAGGTGGAGGGTTTGAGGAACCTTGGTGTTGGTGTTTAGAGGCCGGTTGTCCTGGTAACAAGGCGGTTGTTTTTCAATTTGGTTTTTCTAGAGTAAGTTCCACGCCCTTTGCTTTCTCAATTTTTCAATTGTTTTTCTCCTGCACAGCATGCTATAGATGACATTATGTGGCTGACAATATCCATTTTCTTACCATAAATAAGGATCATTCCTTATTAATATCTTCATCTCATTTCTTTCTGTGCCTTGTTTCCTTGGCTGTAGAAATCAAGAAGAGAAAGAAGGTGTTACCCTGGCCTTTTCTCATGAGAAGGCTTTCCTCTTCATCAGATTTTTCTGGGGCTTTGGAGCCAGAAATGAAAGCATCACTGTTTGACCAGCCCTTGTCGGCCATCTGTGGCGAGGATGATACACTCCCCAGACCCATTCAGGTAGGTGGGCGTTTACTCAGAAACCAACTTCAGTTTTCTGTCGGATGTGAAAATTCTTGAAAAAGCTTCATGTAACTCCCATACTAAACTTGTTGGGGTTGATCGTTGGTTTTTTCCAATTTTGGAAAGGGTGTTTCCATGTATGAGTGCATGTTGGGAGAATATATGGCTTTTATGGCCTAAAAATTAGTTGTATTTGCCACTGAGCTCAGGATGATGGTCCCTCCATTGCTCTCCAACTTTTCTGGCTTCATGGAGTTAAGAATGCTGAAAATACATAGCTTCTGAGAAACTAAATTATTAGAAAGTCCACGTTTATATGGAATGACTTGAAAGGAGAGAGGCCTAAAGAATGAGAATTTTAGAATGGACAAGATGAGAGCCTTCACAGTTTTCCTCCTCTTAGAAAAACGGCAGGTTGAGAGACAGTTGATAGCAATCTGACAAAAGGAAAAATTGGCATGAATAGTTTCTTGCTGGGACTACCTTAGTATAACTGAGAAGTCACATTTATGGCCAGGATCCTTTATGACAGGTAAAGATGGGTACTGTTCATGCACATTATTTTAATTCACTTTCTCCAACCTAAACATAGATGTGTTGTTGTTAGGTGCCATCGAGTCAATTCCGACTCATAGCGACCCTAGAGGACGAAGTAGAACCGCCCGATAGGGTTTCCAAGGAGCAGCTGGTGGATTTGAACTACTGACCTTTTGGTTAGCAGCCAACCTCTTAACCACTACACCACCAGGGCTCCATAGATGTATTAGTAGCAGCTAAGTGTATGTCTTCAAACCAAGGATAACCATTTCCTGACCCTATATCTATTTCCTATAGGATATCCTTACTATTCTATGCATGAAAGGCCCTTCAACTGAAGGAATATTCCGGAAAGCTGCCAATGAGAAAGCCCGCAAAGAGCTTAAGGAAGAGCTCAACTCAGGAGGCATGGTGGACCTGGAAAGCCGCCCCGTGCACCTACTGGCTGTGGTTTTTAAGGTAAGTTCACGGCATGCCTGTCAAAACAGCTTGTCAGTGGGCTCAGACACGTTCATTCTCAGGAAATAAGAAGTGCACTTCTCTCCCCAGAAGTCAAAGTAAACTCATCCTGGAGTTTAAGTTTTTTAGTTAAGCCATTTATTTATTTATTTATGATAACTTATATATGCATATATACTTATATGTCGTTTACAATAAATTTTATATATACATATAAATATAATTTGTTTATAATAAATGACGTTTCTAGTTCTATGATCCAAGATTCCAACAGAAAATGATGCAATAAGTTCCCCCAAAAATTTGATGGGAAAAGGCAGTTCGATTGTCCCGTGGCCGAGGCCATGCTGCTAAACCCCGCGGCCCCTCAGGGTTCACCCACTGGGGACGGTGCCGCCTCTGCGCCTGTGGTTAGGAAGGTGCTGAGAGACAGGTGCTGAGAGAGGTTTCCCAGATGAACGGGTGCAGGAATGAAGGGGTGCAGGCTGTGACAGGATGAACACTGAGTTCCCTGGGGTGGGACAAATGCAAGGGAAGACGAAGACGCCAGCGCTTTTTGTCCTACAAAGAGGCCAAGCAGTACCGCTTCCTCCCCCAGGACTTCCTGCGGAGTATCCCCCTGAAGCTGCTGTCCAGCGACCTGTTTGAGGAGTGGATGGGCGCCCTAGATAGGCAGAGTGAGGAGGACAGAATCGACGCCCTCAAACAGTAAGTCATCTGGAAGGGACGCCAGGAGGCGTGGCCGCCGCTGCCACCTTCTGATTCTCTACCTGTAGAAGCGTTTCATGATCTGTGCCTCATCGAAACTGTGACACTCAGAGAATCCGAGTGGAATTGCTCATCCAATCCCAGAATAAAAGCCAGGAGGTACCCAGAAGTTTAAAATAAGTGCTTTTAGCCAAACAGAAGGAAGTACAACTCCAAAAACGAAAAGTGAACTTCAGAACTCATAAATCCCAAGACGTTTGGAAGTCTAGAAATATAAGTAGCTCAAGAAGATAAAATCATAGATAAAATCATGGAAATGGGTTAACCAGCAAAGTGTAGGCATTTGGAGGCATCCTCGACCCATGTAGACTGGTGTCACGCAAGGCATCAATTCTCCCAAGAAACACTCCGTAAAGCCTAGTAGCTGTGTCTAGAGAAGATTTTGTTTAGGTTTTGTTTTTTTTGTTTATTTTGTTTTTCACGAAATTCCATAGCACATTTCATAGTCTCGTAATGGACCAAAGTGAAAATTATATAAAAACAAATCCCAGTGACAGTAAAAACAATTACATCTGTAAATGGAACGTACGACTTCTTGGTGTTGAGAGAACCCTAAATATTCGACTTCAGAATATCAGCTCTTTTGCCAATTCCTATGCGTCTTAGTTTCCTAGTCTGTGTAACACAAATACACACATACACGTCTTTAAAGAACAGAAATTTATTGTCTCACAGATCTGGAAGCTAAAAGTCAATTCCTTCCTTGTTGGCAGTCCCAGGCATTCCTTGTTTCCTTAGCTTGATGATCCTCATATGGCATCTGTCTTCCCCCTGTGTGTGTGTCTCTGTGTCTAATCTGCTCTTTTTATAACTTAAAAGTGATTAGATTTAGAACCCACCTTACTTGGGTGTGATCTAATTAACACAACAAAGAAAACCCTGCTTCCAAATGGGATCCCATCCACAGGTATAGGGGTTAGGATTCCAACACATAGTTTGGGGGGCACACAATCCAATCCATAACACTATGAAAGCCTATCTATATACTATGATTGCCCCACATGCCTAAATATTTTCAATGAAATATTTAGAGAATTGAAGACATTGGAGTATCTATCCCAAAATGAAAATTGTAAGATTGTCACAATAAATTTCTACTTAAAAACATAAAAGTTCTTTTATAACAATAACTTCTTGTAAGAAGCGAAAATGATCTATGTATTAGTCACCATTTCATTTTTTTTAAAAGTGAGGGTTAAAAAGTCAAATTTATTATTGTTAATTACAAAGTGACCATTCAAATATTGCCTTGGCCAGATTTATGAACATGTCCTTATAAACTGATTTATTATCCATAAAAATGTGCCAGAATTGTATAAAAATATGTCATCTTCGTTTGGTGGTCACAGTTCAAAAAAACGCAAATGATTGCAGTCCAAGAAAATCAGTCTTGCAGTGTTAGACGACAGAAAGACATCCTACCTGACTGAATGATTACTCAACAAAATGATTTTCAAGTTTTAAGGACATACCATAGGACTTAATGCCGGTTCTGCTTCATAACTCAAGATCTATGTAATAACAAAGGGCTGTGTTGTTGGTGTTGTAATTATAAAGACCCATCTCTCTGGGCTTCACAAGCTTGTGGTTAACTAGTTTCGTTTTGTGTCAGTTGCCACTGGAAGCATCTGAATGACTGTTTCACAATGTCCCTTGTGAAAAAGCACCTTCCTCATTTTAAAGGAAGTCTGGTTTAGGCAGAAACTTTCAACTGCCTGAACTAAAACTGCATAAGACCACTAGCCTCGACTAAAACCCATTTTCTTCCCTTTACTCCAGGGTGGCAGATAAACTCCCCCGGCCCAATCTCGTGCTGCTCAAGCACTTGGTCTCCGTGCTCTACCTGATCAGCAAGAACTCCGACACCAACAAGATGGACTCCAGCAATCTTGCCATCTGCATCGGACCCAACATGCTGACCCTAGAGAATGACCAAAACCTGTCATTTGAAGCCCGGAAAGACTTGAACAATAAGGTTTGTTCTAGTTTATTTACGAGAAGCTCTCAATTCAGGATCTCACCATCTGTTTGCATAAGCCAAGCAATGAAATGCTTCTGAGCTTCTCCGACTGGATCAGAACCACAGGGAAATACCCAAGTGCAGAATGCCTTTGTCAGAGTCCCACTCTAGCGTGCTGGGGTTGTTAGCTGCAGTGGGGTTAGCCCCAGGCTCACGGCCACCCCATGAGCAATGGAATGAAATGCCACCTGATCCGGCACCATCCCCATGATTGGTTGCGGATCAGACTGCTGTGATGCATAGGGTTTTCACTGGCTGATTTTCCGAAGTAGATCGCCAGGCCTTTCTTCCTAGTCTGTCTTAGTCTAGAAGCTCTACTGAAACCTGCTCAGCATCATAGCAACACACAAGCTTCCACTGACAGATGGGTCATGGCTTCACATGAGGTGTATTGGTCAGAAATCGACTCCAAGTCTCCCACATGGAAGATGAGAATTCCACCACTGGGCCACCAATGCCCCCCCCCCTTATCATACATACACGCATTTGATGAGACTGAATAAACCTAAGCCCATGTCCTCTGTCACCTCTGAAAATAAGACAAGGGCTATAGATTTTTACATCACTCTATCTCCCAGGATAGAAAAGCACTATCAGTACAACGATAACCTTCAGAAATATTTCCCTAAATGAAAACTTTAGTAAGTTTAAAAGAAAAGACTTCAAAAAATTCTTAGACAAAAAAATGCATGTCTCAAAAACTGCAATAATATATATATTTATTAGCAAACTTCTGTACCTTTCAAACACATGAAAGTCTCCAAGTCTCTTTTTGGCACTTCCTGAATAGCTGACCCCCTCTCTAGTCCCATTCTTCACCGCCCTCCAAAAAACAGAACTATGGCTTCAGGCTGACGGCGCTTGCTTTGTCTCCCAGGTTAAGACTCTGGTGGAATTCCTCATCGATAACTGCCTTGAGGTCTTTGGGGAAAACACACCGGCGCCTTCCAGCACTGCTTCCGACGACTCCTTGGAGCACACAGACAGTTCAGGTACAGGATGTGCCATCTATGATTATGACCTTCATAGAAAGTTCCTGCCAGTTACGTAAAATAGCCCTGGTATTTGAACCAGAAATTGCCTTCACAAATCAGCTCTATTCAGCTCCACAAGGCAGTCCTTAAATATGAAAATCTTGCTCGGGATTTCCCTGCAATGCCTCCTTCCTCCTTTAACTTTACACTGGACTTTTTCTCTTCCTTTTCTAAATTGTGTCTAACTGCTCAAAAAAAAAAAAACCCTTTGCCTTTGAGTTGATTCCGACTCACAGCGACCCTATAGGGCAGAGTAGAACTGCCCATAGGGTTTCCAAGGCTGTAATCTTTACAGGAGCAGATTGCCAGGTGTTTTCTCCCTCGGAGCAACTGGTGGATTCAAACCGCCAACCTTTCGGTTAACAGCTGGGTGCTTAACCACTGCACCACTAGGGCGCCTTGAACAACTGCTAAACTTACTAAATAACGTTTAACTATAGGGTTGGAGTAAAAAATTTTGTTTCCATGTAATGGAACATGGGTCTAAAAAAAAGCCATCCAAGGATCAACTGTACAATTTAAGATCAATACATTTTCGGTAAAATGCTCTTTTCCCCCTTTTCTTATTCTCTCTCTCTCTCATGTTCCCTTTTCGTACTTCTCTTCTCCATCTTGAAATAGTTGATTTGGAAAGAAATCCACTTCAGTGTGGTAAACGTCTTATCATTCCAAGCCCCAAAGTATTTCCACCAAACTGTCTAGTTCCATCATTAGTATGAGTAGGGTCAATTGTGCTAAAGTTTATTTCTAAAAGAACCTGAACAAAAAGTTCAACTGTTCCTTAATGTCCCCTAGACGTGTCGACCCTGCTGAATGACTCGGCCTACGACAGCACAGACCCTGATGTCGATGCCCACAGTGTCATCAGCTCCCAGAGCAGGCAGCCCCCAGGGCCCGCCACGATGGCCGCCAGCGTGGACAACAGGGAGCCACAGTACCCGTGTGAGTCAGGCCTGAAGCCCATTATCAGCACTGTCGCCAGGCTGAAAGGCTCAATCGATCAACCAGACAGGAGGTATTCAGAACCCAACATGTCGTCCTCACAAGAGTACCTTGAGAACCGGATAACGAGCCAAAAGCTTACCAAGAGTGAGGATAACTTCACCATGCCCCTGGTGGGCTCTAGTTTTGAAAGTGAGGACACTGGAGACCCATTTCCAGAGGAGGTTTTCCCTGCAGTAGAAGGCAAACCCAAAAGATCACTGGACCTGAGGGCAAAGAGCGTGACTCAGGGGCCACGGGGACTGTTACTTAAGGCCTTCTCCAGCGGCTCCCTGGATGTCTCCTCCGACAGCTCCCCCATTGTTTCTCCTTCCAGTCCCAAAAGAAATTTCTTCACCAGACACCAGTCCTTCACCACAAAGACTGACAGAGGTAAGCCCAACAGAGAAATAAAAAAGCACTCCACATCATTCTCCTTTGCCCCTCACAAAAGAGGGCAGACCAAAACCACCAGCTGTGGGTCTGGGAAGTACAAAGGCTTTCCCAGAGACCAAGTGAAGAAGAGTTTTAAGAAAGAAAGCCAGCTTGCTGGCCGCATCATCCAGGAAAGCTGGTCTGAAACCCACAGCCAAACAGCTCTGGACTTCAGCTCAAGAGCCTATGCCTTCTCAGTTGATGACGTGTTTCAACAAGTGGATCAGAGAATTCCTGGAAGCCCACCATCTTATGAAGAGGCTGTTCAGTGCCAGGCATTTGAACTCGCTGCCTACAGAGGCCAAACAGTCCGAAGTATGAGGGCAAGAATGCTCAGTCAAGACGCCATACGACCACCTCTCCTACCTTCTCACCATGGAGGGGACTCAAACACATGCAGTAAAGAGTCACCAAGTGGGCACAGACTTTCTCCTGTGACTGGGGGTTGGAAACAGAGCAGGACTGTGTGTGCTTCTGTGGAGACTAAAGAGGAAGTGACTGTACCAGGGAGATCTGCCCTTTACCGGCTGAGAACTGTGTCTGAATCCATACAAAAGAACAAGCAGGACTATTTAGTAAGGCGGTGTAGTCAGCCAGTCTTTGAGGCTGATCAACTCCAATATGCTAGAGAATCCTACATTTAGGAAGGCGGGCCATGAGCATGACAGAGCTTATGGTATTCCTGTAAATATGTGACTGTAAAGAACTGCTTTTAGATTGTTTTGAAAAAAGTCAAGAATAAGCTCCTTCAGAAAAGTTGTGTGGAACCTTCCTCAGAGAGGATAACCACACAACGGCACCCAGGTTGAGTCTGTGTGTGCCTGAATTTGTGCAATATGTAACAAGTGTATAAAATGTATTCTCCACAATGTGTTTATGTGGACATAAACGTGTATATACTTGAGGTAAACTGCACTGCAGTTCTTTGCCTCCTGGGGCACTTTCTTTTGTTTAGTGTTTAAAAATAACCTTTTCTTCTCTTTATGTTGCCTCAAATGTCACTGCCAATTTTCACGTTTTCCACAAACTCCATTCAGGGAAAAATGTTTAAATCTCTGATAGAAGTTGACTCTACTAAGCAGCTTCCTGATAACTAACCACCACAGTACAAGAAAGAAACAGACAGCACTGAAGTTCTCAAAGGCATCACAAATGCGAGTAAAAGAAAAGGCTATAATTAAAATTATGAAAAATAATCAAATATGTCTTTTAATCCTCAAAATTAAATTTGGGTAGATTAATGAAAATGCATTGCATTACTATTAACCCATTTATAGCACTTTGAATTTCTTTGTCATTGAATGATGTCTTACCCAATAGTGTGAAGGTAAACATTATATATGCATTGGGGGTCCTGTAAAACTTCGATGTAATTTCACTACAATAAATAGCCTTCCTTGTTTGAAAGTACAAACGTTAACTCTTTATTGACACGGGGCCATCCTCTCCGTTAACAGAAATCCACCAAGAACATCGTTTGCACGTTTCTTCATTTCACAAGCATTTATGGAATCTGTGTTCATTGTTCCAGGAATCCAGTAAAATTGGGAATGTTGAGATTTGGGAGACAATCCCTGTTTTCCAGAAATCTGCAAAACCATTTAAAACAAATACCGACTTTAAGCCATTTTTCAGCAAGCAATCACTCAGAGGCCAGGAAAATTTAGTATGCAAATACAGGGTAATATAGTAAATAAATACATTAGAATTTTTACTGAATTCAACTTTTCAGTAGTTTCATATGTATTATCTCATTTTTATGATGCCTCAGTTCACTTGATTATTAGGAAACTTGATGGTAAAATGTAAATTACTTTATATATTTACATTAGAACTTCAATGTTCAATGATTGAGATATTCAGTATCTTAGAGACTTCGATTTGCCTTATCAACTTTTTTCATAAAATTATGTATATGCTATTGATTTGTTATAAAAATATTTTTATGCTGGCCAGTTACCCAATGGTAAAGACCTATTCTTTCCAGGGGTCACTTATTAATAATGTTGTACAAAGTTAATAGTGTTGTAAATCAAATTGCTCATTGCAGCATGATTAGGTCTAATAATCTCAAATTAAAAATACTTTATTAAGCACTAATAATATTAAGAAAATCCTGGTGGCGTAGTGGTTAAGAGCTACAGCTGCTAACCAAAAGGTCAGCAGTTCAAATCCACCAGGCGCTCCTTGGAAACCCTATGGGGCAGTTCTACTCTGTCCTATGGGGTCGCTGTGAGTCAGAATGGACTCCACGGCAATGGGTTTTGGGTTTTTTTAAATAATATTAAAATCAAAAGGGGCGGATCCTCCCCCCCCCCCGCCCCCGACCACTAATTTAAGAACAAACCCTTTCCAGAGCTGGATACTAATGGTAATAGCAACGGGAATTTTTAGCATCCGTCTTGTGCCAGGCCCTGTGCTGAATATTTCAGGGTTGTAAAAAAATAAATCTTCCACCATATTCTTAGCAACTTCTTACTGAGAATCAGAGAATTCTCATCAGTATACCACTAAGACCGTAACTGTAAGAATGGCATGGGGAGGGGGGGTGGCATCTGACTCCTCTAACTTCACGAGCAGGAAGAAGAATCAAGACCAGCAGGCCAGGGCTGATTCCTATGAGGCGGAGGTCAGACATGCCTCATCTCTCCGCCATCTTTACCAACTCTGACACCGACCATTCCTCCCACGGCACTCATTATTTCTCTGCTGGGTTTGATAATTCTTTGCAATGGCCACACAGAACTCACAGACAATACTCACAATTATGGGGTTTATTAGGGAAGTAATAGGTTACAGTTCAGGTCAAGGAACACTCAGGATACAGTTCTTCCATCAGATTAGCCTCTTCTTAGCCGTGCCTACAAGTACACCTCTCTCTGGCCCCTCAGCCTCTGCCCTGCTTGGGCAAGTGTTACAAAGCTCTTTTAGCTCTGCTGATAAGTGCCAAGAGGCACCCCACTTCACCAGTAAGCCTGGGCCAAAGGCGCTCAGCTCTAACTCTGTGGGTTGGCAATCCTAGCTCCACCAAGTGGTTGAAGGTACCCTATTCCACCAGCAAGTCTCCTGCCCGAAGGCAGTCAGCTTTCTCTCTCTATGGGCTGCGAAGCCTACTGCGGCCGTCTCCTGCTGGTCTTTCCTGCCAGTCTCTTTTGCTGTCATTTCTCTACCACCACCTCTTGCAGTCTTCAGTGTTAACAGCTCTCTCTCTCTTTCTCCTGGTTCAAGGAGGGTCTGAGCACAGGAATCCCCCAGCTCCAAAGGATGTGCTCCGCTCCTGGTTCTCCTTTGGTGGTGGTGAGATCCTCTCCTGCTCTGGAATTGGCTCTCTTTTAATCCTAGAGGGATGGCAAAATTGACCAATCCCCTTGGTGGGCCACAATTACTCTATTTTCACAGTCTCACCCAATCATGTGGATGGCAAGAAAGGCCACATAAAAGTGATTCATTGTACTGCGATAGCTAAACTCAAATTCAAACCAAATCCTTTCCCGTCGAGTCAACTCCAACTCATGGCGACCCCATGTGTTTACAGAGTAGAACTGAGTTCCACAGGGTTTTTAATGCTGATGTTTTGGAAGTAGATTGCCACGCCTTTCTTCCAAGGCACCTCTGGGTGGTCTCAAACTGTCAATCTTTCAGTTGGTGGCTGAGCACCTAATCCGTTGTGCCACCCAGAGATTCCAGACCACAGCCAGGAAGCCACAAGTCTATTCCCACTTCACTACTAACCTGACCTCCATGTGACCCTGATCAAGTCACGAAACCTTACTCCAATTTCCTTATTTTTAAAAAGTAAGGAAGGGACTGAACATCCTCTACCTGTCACTTACAAGGTGTACCATTTGCTGACCAACATTTATGAGCTTCTTGCCATCAAACAAATGTCATTATTGTTACTGTTTTTAAAAGTGGAAAAAGGCATGGTGAACTTTTCACAGTGTGGTAGTCTCACTCGTACCCACAATGGCCTTCAAAAAAATAGGATTTCCCAACCTGATTTCCATATTTTGCAAAATTGTTGTTGTTGTTATTAGGTGCTGTCGAGTCGGTTCCAACTCATAGTGACTCTGTGTACAACAGAACGAAACACTTCCGGGTCCTGCGCCATCCTCACAATCATTGTAATGCTTGAGCCTATTGTTGCACCCAGTGTGTCCATCCATCTCGTCAAGGGTCTTCCTCTTTTTCACTGACCCTCTACTTTACCAAGTATGATATCCTTCTCCAAGGACTGATCCCTCCTGATAACATGTCCAGAGTATGTGAGGTGTAGTCTCGCCATCCTTCCTTCTAAGGAGCATTCTGGCTGTACTTCTTCCAAGACAGATTTGTTCGTTCTTTTGGCAGTCCATGGTGTATTCCATATTCTTCGCCAACACCACAGTTCAAAGGCGTCAATTCTTCTTCCATCTTTCTTACTCATCGTCCAGCTTTCGCAGGCATGAGGCAATTGAAAACACCATGGCTTGGGTCAGGTACACCTTAGTCTTCAAGGTGACATCTTTGCTTTTCAACACTTTAAAGAGGTCCTTTGCAGCATATTTGCCCAGTGCAATGCATCATTGGATTTCCCCACTGCTGGTTCCATAGGTGTTGATTGTGGATTCAAGTAAAATGAAATCCTTGACAACTTCAATCTTTTCTCCATTTATCGTGATGTTGCTTATTGGTCCAGTTTTGAGGATTTTTGTTTTCTTAAAAATTCCTTGTTTATTCCAACCATGTTTAATACTTCACCATAAACAGAGGGCGAAGGCTACAGTGAGGTTTGGATGGTATTAGAATGAGACTTTAGTCAAGGAACAGGCACACCAGAGTCTTGTCCTCTGACAGTTTCCTAAGGGGCTGCATGACGACAGATGGACAATCACAAATGTGCCTCACACCCCAGTGCAAGGTGTATGGTAAAACCAGGTGGGAAGCCAAGGTCTAAGTAGGGACTTCAGCCTAAACCCAGGCCTCATTCCAGCCTCGGAGCCAGTAAGCCCTGACCCCCACCCAGCACCCTATATTACTAGGCCTGGGCGGAACCTTGGGAGGCCTGGCCCTCTTACAAACCCAGAGACAGGGAAAAAGAATCTGAAGGCAGGACCTCAAACAAGTCAGCGAGCCCATTGGTGAACATCCAGCCATCACCGTCCTGGAATCTGACGAAGCAGATGGAAATGTCTTCCTCTTGGAAGGTGGGAAATTTTCTCTCCTATAAAGGAAGGGAAGGAGGGGTTGACACATGGCATTGCCAACGTCTCCCACAGTCCACGTGATTATCTGCCATGAGACACTGCCCCCTCACGAGCGCTTGTTGCTGTAGTTGTTGGTAGCTGCCGTTGAGTTCTGACTCGTGGCGACTCTGTATGTGCAGAGCAGAACTGCTCCACAGGGTTTTCCAGGCCGTCATCTTTTGGAAGCAGATTGCCAGGATTTTCTTCCAAGGCACCTCTTGGTGGGTTTGAACCACCAGCCTTTCGGTTAGTAGTCCAGCGCTTAACCATTTGCACCACCCAGGGAATCGTTCCCCCAAGCACTACCAGGGCTAAAAGAAATGAGAACTTGGTCTAGAAATCTTGGCTTTAGTTAACCAAGGTTGGATGCTTTTTCTAGAGCTAAGCAAAACTGCAATCGCCAGAAAGCTTAAACACAACAAATACAATGGCTTCACTAGCTGGGGTCCCTTAGCAACCGAAGTGGCAACTCTGGTTTGTAGCACTAACAAAACGAATAATAGCTTATGGCCACAGTGCTTCCCATGAGCCCCAGATGAGAATTTCCGAAGAGCTGTAAACACTAGCTGTTGATCCTAACGCATTTGTAAAAGAGTGAATTTATAGATGAATTTTCCGGCTGTGACCTCCCGGGAAGGATCACCCTGTACATGTCGTCCTCCTGATGGGCCAAACACATGGAGACCCACATCATAAGGGATCTCATAGTTTGAGTTCGTTGTTTGTTTGTTTTTTTTAATTGAGTTAGGTAAGATCTCAACTCTTCATCTGTAAGGGGAGAATGCTGAGGAATTAGAAGTATAAACATTTTGCTAGAGAGGGAAGCAAATCACCTTTTAGCAGTATTTCCGATATGCGGCCAAGACTCTGCATTTTGTCTGCGACTCAGAGCTCCGCAGGTGTCTCGAGTACAAGTTAAATGTTAGTGAGGAAGCACCAATGGGATGAAGAGCTACCCAGAGGGGACGCTGTGAGAAAGCAAGCATGCAGAATGCAGAAATTGTGCCAGAAAACAGAAACACAGAACGATAACATCTCTGCAGGCAGAGAAATTCAACATGTCGACACGGAAAGAGTGCGTGCCTCGAATTCACAGGAGCCGAGTTCACACCCCAGATGTGTCACCACGGACGAGGTACTAACCCCAGGAGCACCAGGTTGCCCCTCTATATGAGGATGATA